ACCCAACAATCACAGAGGCAGAAACTATGTCTAAAGTAAATTCTAAGGGCCAGAGAGCTAGCTCAGTAGAATAAGCACTTGCCTGGCAAGGGCTCTAAATTCAATCTCCAGTGCCGAAAAATAAATAAATAAATAAATAAAATTATTCCTAAAATAAATTCTAAGATAGTATCTTTTGAATGAAAAATGTGGTAGATTTCTAGTGCTGATCTCAAACACAGCTATATGTTCTACAAACCTGTGTCCCTCTTGATAGCCTACTAGTCCCATGACCACCAGAAACGCCTGGTCCCTGCGGACTTTAGAGGTTACCAATGGGCTGCAAAGCAACCTAGCTCCACAGCAAATCACTATCTTGGAGAACGCGGAGGCCTTGCTGTTTCCTCTGTGCAGAGCCCAGCAGGCAGTGAGGCCTGCTTTTAGCATTCCCTGTAGGATCCATGTTGTGGAGGAGCAATTCCGTGTACTAGAGCACGGAGGGGAAAAACAAGCTGAGAATCCCGTCACTGTTTCCCAGCCCCACGTCTAGGAGACAGGGCAGAAATGATGTGCAGTCTCTGGGTTCTCAAGCGGGTCTCTGTGGCTCTCCAAGTATGCTTTTGTGAGCAAGTCCCTAGTTTCACTGTGAAAAGGAACAGTCTTGTTTCCCCAGTGCACCTCCAGCACCCGGGACAAGCAAGTACCCCAAACACAGTAGATGCTCCTGAAGCCCCTGCCAGCTGTGGGGGCAGACCATGGGTGTGTAATGCAAGCGATGCCAGGGGCTGTTTTGTTATCTGATACCTGGAGCTGTAAAAAGGGGGAAGAGTAGCTACAGGACCTGAGGGATTTTCTACAGGAAACCAGAACTAAAATTTAGTTGTCAGATGAAAATTTCTGGGATACAGCACTCGAGAGGTGGAGGCAGGAAGATCGTTGTGAGTTTAAGGCCAGCCTGGGCTACAAAGTGAGACCTGGCCCTAAATCTGGGCTCTATCAGATTTCCTGGGTATGACACTTTGGGAAAGTTGTTTTATCTCTTGGTGCCTGGGTTTCCCCATCTGTAACATGCAGGTTATAAACACATCCCTCAGGACTGTCTTAAGGATTCAAGGAGAAAGAGTGTGGATGGTAGGGCTGATGCCTTCCCAGCTCACATCCCTGCCAGGGTACTAGCTCATTCAGAAAGAGCTGGGACCAGCGCTTCTAGTCACCCCAGGCAAGGCCTGGAAAGGGAATTCTACACCTTTGGTCTCAGTGGAGCAGCCCATCTGATTGGCAAATGCCTGACCAACACTGGTCTCCTGCACCCTTGCATGTGCCACAGTGGGTGTCAACAGCCTCGTTGGTGTCGGTGACCACCTCTGGCCCCAGCCAGTCTGTGCCTTCTGCTCCAAGGCACCTTCATGATGCCCGCTTTTTCACGAGCTCATGGAGAGCCAGATCTCCTCCCTCAGGCCCTGAAAAGGGGTAATACTCAATCCAGCCCCTTCCAGACAGCCCTCCAGCTGAAGCTGGCATGTTGGTGGCTTGGCTTTCTTGATTCTATTTATTAGATCCAAAAGGAAAGAAGGCTACCCCTTAGGCCGCGTTTCAGAGTGCTGTGCACGTGAGAGCCAATGCGGTAGATGGCAGCGTGGGGCACGGGGCACGCTGTGGGGATCTCCTGCCTCCCCACCAGCACCTACAGCGAAATCCAAGCTACTTAGATCAGCTGTCCTCCAAGGCGCCGCACTGCCCCCTAGGGGGTATTCTGGAGACCCAGCAGAATGTCGCAGAGCCGCTGACTGTGGGACAGCCCCGTGCAAGAAGGGACTTCCAACAGCCCACTAGATACACACAGACTAGAGGAACCACTCTGGTACACATTTATACATCTATGTGCAGCTACACATATAAGTACATTTGTGTGTGTGTGTGTGTGTGTGTGTGTGTGTGTGTGTTAATGCAAGCAGATATAAGGAAAAGCTGATAAACACATCCACTAAATTACTGCTAATACTACCCTGGCAAGGTGTCCCACAGGCCTTATCCTCGCAGTTATATATTCTTATTTTATTTCAAGATTTTATAAAAGGTATTACTTTTGAAATTAGAAAAAAACAAGATAACTGAAACAACATTTGTTATGCAATTTACAAGAAAAATCATGTCCCAAAGAGTAGTATTTTATGAGAAAGTTTACTATCCATCAATCCAAATAAAATCATTTTAACCCTCCTCAAAAAACTCAGCTTGGGACCTGGGAGATGGCTCAGTGGAATAAGCACTTGCCTGGCAAGCGCAAGGGTCTGAGTTCAATCCCTGGTTCCACGGGAAAAAAAAACAAAAAACAAAAAAAAACTCAGCTTATAATTATCTGAGTGTGAAACCTAAACCATCTCATACGTAAGTATACTTAGGTCTGCACACAGACTCTTTTCCAGGAATTCAGTTACCATGAGATTGTGATGTGTTGTCCACCTTTAGGAAGATCCAGGCTCTGATGTCAGCACTGCTCACAGCATTTGATTGACACGTGTCAGTCAACATCTGAGGATGTGACATTGACAGTGACGGGGGGGGGGGGCGTCTTCACGGGTTTGTCTCATATGGCTTCAGGTGTAGTTTTACCTTAGTATGACCTCTTCTTTCATTTTTCTATACCAATTAGAGCAGTATATTTGATGTCTAAGAGCTTCACATGCAGGTCGGTTATACTATATATGAATCTCAGGTCAGAGGGTTAAACGGGTGTTACAAGATGTTTGTCACAAAGGGAGTCTGAGAGGCTCAAGGCACATCTATAATGGCAAATACTCAGAAGGATGAAGCAGGAGGACCTCAAGTTTAAGTCCACCTTAGACAACTTAGCAAGACACTGACTCAAAGTTTGTATGTCACTGGGTTCAAGCCCTAGCGCTACACAAATGGAAGGAAAGAAGGAGGGGGGACAGAGGGAAGGAAGGAAGGGAAGGAGGGAGGGAGGCAGAAAAAAAGACAGACGCACTGGACTGGCAGGGCTGAGCACTGCTGTGCAAGCCCCTCAGGCCTCAAGCAGTGCCTCCATGAATGGCGACTTCCAGGCAGGCTTCTCAGCAGGCAGGGCACCGGAAGTCCGGAGAGAGCGCTGGTTGCCACAGACAGCACGTGACTACAGACCTAACGCAGTGTAGTGCAAGATCTGCTCTCTGGGGCAAGGCAGGGGTGAGCAGGGACTTCCTCCCATAGACCAGGATGAAGACAGCTGTTTCTCGGCAGAAATGTGGAAGCAGAACTGGGCCCGGCTACTTACACAGGTCCTCTGTGGCTGCTGGGGCAAAGGCAGCCATGGACTCGTATAGCTCCTCGTCGCAGCCAGGGTTGAGGGAGCATTTCATGAGCAGGTCCGTGGACAAGTGGGCCATGGACTCGTACACAGCGTCAGCCTCCTCTCCATGCATCAGCTCCTCCTTAATGTGGCTCTTCAGCATGTCCACAGTCTCCTGCAAAAGAAGACAGGAGAACAAGCAGGCTGAGGCACCTGGTGGTCTGGGCAAGGTCAGGCTCAGCTGGACTTGTGGCCAGGAGAGCAAGCACTCGCAGGAGCCAGCTCCGTAGGCGCTTGGTGCGTCTGTCGTTCCTGCCCGGCACGTGCTCCTCAGGGCCAGCTCCATGCCTTTTCTTTTCCTGCTTCATGTTTTCTGTTTTAATTTTGTATCTTCCTTCCATACTATCATAGGGCTATGTACACACTTAAAAGATCCTGGGTCAATGTTGAATGACTGGAGGATAGAAACTAAAAGCTACTTGCTCACAAGCCCCTACTGTGAGTTAGGTCCAGAGCTAGACATGTGACTGCGCGGTATCTCACCCCATCCTTTCCACACTGCTTCAGACTCTGCACCACTTCCTAGCTCGCAAACAAGAAAATTAAAGCTCAAAAACTAGTATTTTTCTGTCAGGCTTGCAATCTCAGCTTTGACCTTTCTACTAAATCCTAGATGTCCTCAAAAAAAAAAGATAAATAACAAAAGAGGATGTGGCCTTTACTGACTAGCCACATGGCAATGCAAGTGGACTCAACCCAGCTGCCCCCGCAGTGTTCCTGCACTTGCACAGATCCTCCCGTCCCTTCTAGAGGCCTCTGCGAAGTGCTGACTGTTCCCAGGGCTTCCTCCCTCAGCTTCAGGTTCTAGATGCTCAGAAAGAGATCTGTTCTTGGAAGAAGGCCACTGGCATCAGAAAGGCCATTCTGCTGTCACTCTACCTCCAGTGTTGTGACGCTAGAGAACTGACTTCTCCAAAATCTCACAATTTTGCCTGGCAAGAAACTGCACAATTTTGCCTGGCAAGAAACTTCAATATGTCACAATCCTTATTTCAGCTCTACTCCACAATATCCTACCTAATCCACATCACTACCCACGCAAGCCGATCACTGACACTCTGCTATTTCCTGGTCAGAACCAAGGAGGCCAGGAGGCAGCTCTGCCGTGCTGGAGACTCCCGCTCAGCCTCTGGCTTTCATGTGGTAGGAAAGAAAGCAGGAAAGTTCTGGGAGGTTGTAAGCAACATCCAGGGGCAACTTTGCAGGAGCAAGGCTAACTAATGACACATCGGCGGAAGGTGACCATAGCTAGGACTAAAAATGATACAAGAAATGTGAACAAGATCAACTTCAGTGCACACTGACAAGGCCCCATAAACTGCCCT